CAAAAATGTATTGCATCAGATTTCAAAGGAACGGATTCTCTTTTTCTAATTAACTTTATGCATAAAAACTAGCTGGAGCTGCAGAAAATATGGTTACAACACACGCAAAAAACAGAAACTACTAGAAATTCAGACATCCTTCATCATGGTAAATCTGCACTGACAAGTGGGGTAAAGGCCACTTTAGTATTTTCAGTGCCTCCTTGCATTTCAAGTTCTTCTCCATGAGTTGCCTTGCAATCGTGATAGAGGACTGTGTATGCCATGAGATTAAACAGTATGATCAGGCAGGATATTGAATTCAGGAGGAGCAATGGAATCATGGCAGCATTTGATGACATGACTGTTTTGCCATACTTGTGCACACCATGGGACACAGGATATGAGAGTGCTACAAACAAAAGATTTAGGAAAAGTCCGCGCATCCTCAATCCTTTGATGAGCTGTCCAGCCTTCCCAAGTGCCTCAATTCCACACTTTTCTTCGAGTACCGAAACAACGAGTGCTAAATTCCAAACAACAGCTAGATAAGCTTCGAAAACTATAGCTGGGAGCAATATGATTATAGATGATAAAGAAGGCTCAGTGAACGTAAGATCGAAAATCAGCACCAAAGAAACCAGAAAGGCTATGAGAAATAGATAATAGCCCAGACGAAGAAGGGTTATGTAAAACCAAGTAAGAAACGGTCTTTTCAATGATTTCACGGCCCTTGATAGAAGTTCCTTGATAGACATGTCTTTCCCACAATAGGTTACTGCCGATGCTAAGATTGAAGCTGTTGCAAAGAACAAAGAGGAAAAACAGAATGCGATAACAAAAATCCACTCTAGTCCAACAAATAATCGGAGGTCGCCTTTCAAACTACTCAGAAGGTTTGCGAATTCCGGGGTGCCGGGAGACGTAGCTGGTAGAAGCCTTGCCTTGAGGGCAAAATCAGTGATTGGTGGTTTAATGGACAACATACAACTCAAAAAGAGGATAGAGCTAAGAGAAATTATGAGCAGGAAGATGCAAGACATGAGCTTAACATTTCTGAAGAAAAGTTTCTGTGATTCCTTCAAAGTTCCCACCAATTCCAGAAGCATAAAAGACCCCATCATGAAGAAGAAAGAAAAAAATTGATGTTCTTCAAAGCTTTTAATATTTTCTTGCATTGTAAAAGAGCACAAAGGCATAGCCTATTTATATTATGACTGTTACTATGATTTTCTGACTACGTCTCGTCTTCTCCATTCCGTACAGAAAACTCAATACAATTGACCTTATCAGCATGAAAGAGTCAAACATTGCCTATTCTTCCTTTCTTGTAAGCTACGTTAAAATCCAAGAAAATTTGACACAGCCAATCCACACAAATGCTCAGTAGAAGAATAGACCCGGCGCAATTAATTAATTATGTGTTTCTTACGTTGTCCCATTTCACTTGAGAAATCCACATATGACCTGCTAGAGATTAGTTTGAATGGATAAAAATTAAAACAGTGAGAAGGCTGTAAATTTGAGATGGGTAAAAGTCATATGACCATTTAAAAAAAAAAATTCAAATCAACTTAAAATATAAAAAAGTTAAGAAAACTAACAAAACATATTGACAGAACATGATGGTTAATTTATTAATATGAAGAAGATAGTGAGTGAGTAAAATTGCTGAGCCAAAAACAAAAGGTACTCAACCATACTAACTCAAAAGGAAAAGAATGAGAAAAAAAAAAAACGAAAGTTTTGATACCTCTTCAAAAATCCAAATTGCAAAATTTCAAGTAGTACAACCCTTCATTCAATTGTGCTCTCTTCAAGACCCATAGAAGAAAATACCATTTCGACCAAAAAGGAGATAGAAGAAATACCAGTTCATTTTTAAAAGTATTTTTTTACTTTGACTTTGACTGCTGGAAAAAACCCACAGAATCAATCACTTTGATTTTGCCCAACAAGTTATCAATTCTTAAATTATTATTCTATTCACTTGATTTTTTATTGGAAAGGAGGAGAATTGGTTTTGGTTAATCACTTTGATTTTGCCCAACAAGTTATCAATTCTTAAATTATTATTCTATTCACTTGATTTTTTATTGGAAAGGAGGAGAATTGGTTTTGGTTTCCAACGCATGACTTAATGTTGAGTGTCTGTTTAGTTTCTTCTCTTTTTTTGTTTCTTTTTTGTTTCTTTTCCTTTTTCATATATATATATATGGACTAAGAAAATTTTGTGCCCCATTGTATTTTGGGCCCCGAGCTGTGGCCCTGGTTGCCCTTGGCCAGGGCCGGCTCTGCCACAGATATACACATTTTTTTCAAAAATTTTGTCGGAAGTACAAGGCTTCTCTTGCATAAGTCAAACCTTTTCGTATCAACCACGCACTTAAATATTTGGGGTTCGTGGTTATTGTTTGCTTAAAAATATATATATGTCCTCCTCTTTCCACCATTCTTCCTCTCTGTCTCTCTGCGTCCATTACGCGTTGATAGAATCAAGCTCAAGGAACTTGACCTTGACTTGGGTATTTCAATCAATGTTTCTAATAAAATTAATACTACATTTTTGACATGACCAACATACACTCTGATTTTTATTTATTAAAAAACCTAGTCTCTCTGCACGTGTTTCAAAACACGCGAAGGGCAGGGGCAGAGGGAGCTAAGGCCTAGGGGGTCCTATGCCCCCTCTCAATGTTATTGAGTCCTTTGTTTTCTTAGCACAATTTCCAATCTTTTATCAAATTTCTAAGTGCCATTTTTATGTTTTCCTTCTCTCTCTTTTCACTATTATTACTACCCCTTCTAAATCTCTTCTTGTCTTATTTTAACTCTAAATTTTGTAGTAATAAACTACAATTGGAATTTCTTAGTGTGTATATTTAATGAAGTACATTTAAGTAGATAGTGAATATAATATGTGTGGGAACCGAATTAAATCACCCTAGGTCAAATAAATCCTTCCATTTGGGGATTATTTGACCTAATTGGGAGTTACTCAATTTAATTGGGAGTTACCCAATTAAATTAGCAATTACCTAATTAAAATGGGGATTGATTTGATTCCTACCCTAATTAGGGATTTGATTTAAATCAGATAAATCAAATCCCTAATTAATCAAATCTCGCCTAATCGGAGAGGAATAATTCCTTTCCATCTACGGAATTATTCCTCTGAAACCCTAGCCTCCGAGGCTCCTATAAATACCTAGCTACACACAAGGGTTAAGGTACGTCTAAATTCCTACTGAAACTCTGCAGAAATAATTCTCCACAAACCCTAGCCACCATCTTCTTTCTCTCTCCCTCACACAAGGCTCCGGCCTCCACACACGGCTCCGGCCACCCGGTTTTCCTTGAACACCCATC